AGCTACCTTATCTTTGACAAAGGAGCCAAACACCCTCTCTGGAGGAAAGATAACCTCTTTGACAAATGATGTTGGAAAAACTGGATTTCAACTTGTCAAAGATTAAAACTAGACCCCTATCTTTCATCATACACTAAACTAAAACCCAAGTGGATTAAAGATCTAAATATTAAAACAGAAACACTAAACTTGCTGGAAGATAAGTTAGGCAGAATTCTGGAAGACATTGGCATAGGAAAAGACTTTATGAACAAATCCTCAGTAGCACGGGAACTAGCAGAAAGAATCAACAATTGGGACCTCATCTTTTTAAAAAAGCTCCTGCATTGCCAGAGAATTCACAAACAGAGCTAAGAGAAAACCCACACAATGTGGGAAAAAATTTTTACCAGCTGTTCCTCAGACAAAGGTCTACTATCTAGAATATATAAAGAATTTTTAAAAATCAGACCCCCCAATATAAAGATCTGATTCAAAAATGGGCATTTGAAATGAACAGACATTTCTCAGACAAAGAAGTAAAAGCAGCAAAGAATCATATGAAAAAATGTTCAACATTACTGGTCCTTTGAGAAATGCAGATGAAAACAACACTGAGATTCCACCTCACCCCAGTAAGAATGGCATCTATCAAGAAATCCACCAATGACAAATGCAGGCAGGATTGTGGGAAGATAGGAACACTTCTTTGTTGGTAGTGGGAGTACAGACTGGTGCAACCACTGTGGAAATCAGTATGGAGATACCTCAAACAACTAGGATTAGAAGTCCCATTTGACCTAGCTATTCCTCTGCTGAGTATATTCCCAAAAGAATTAAAAGAACCATATCACAGGCTCACCCATGTTTATAGTGGCACAGTTTGTAATAGCTAAAATTTGGAAATAGCCCAATTGCCCATCAACTGGAGACTGGATAAAGAAGATGTGGTTTTTTAATAAAATGGAATACTACTCAGCCATAAAGAATGAGAAACTAGAGAGATTTATAGCTAAGTGGATGTACATTGAGGCCATACTCTTAAGTGAAATTGATATGATACACATGTGTAAATACTGACTAGTTTCTCTGCTGTGAAAAAGCAAAAGTGTAAATAAGGATTAAAATGCATAATTGATATTGTGTAATAGGAAGAAAAGGTCTAGAAAAGTAGAGGAAGTGGGAGGGGTAGGGGAACGGTAAAAAGGGAAAAGAAAAAATATGTGAAAAGGTAAAACATGGAAATAATGTCTTTGTAAACAGGGAAGGGTGGAGGGAATGAAGGGAGGGCAGGGGAATGGGGAAAAAATAAGAACCAAGATACATCATGTAAAGGTACAAGACCCCAATGATGAATGTAACTGTGTGGTATACCTAAAATGTACCAATAAATTTAATAAAGATTAAAAAAAAAGAAAGGAAATTTCCTCCTTCCATGCTCAACTCTGGAATGCTAACATTTATTATAAACATGATTACCATATGATTTGTTAATGAAAAAGAGAGCATTGCTGATACAGCTGGCTCCTGGGTAGCTACAGAGATTGGTTCCAGGACTACCCCACCCCATCCTCCCATCCCTCAGGGACACTGAATTCCAAGGATGCACAAGTCTCTTATATAAGGCGGCAGATTATTTGCATAGAACCTGTGGACATCTTCTCATGTGCCCACGGTCACCTCTAGATGACTTGTAACACCTGTTAAAATATAAACTGAAATAGTTTTCATACTGTTTAGGGACTAATGACAAGAAAGAAAACAGTAGAGATGTAATTTTTTAAAAAGCATTTTCATCCATGGTTGGTTGAATTTGCTTGTCTGGCACACAATTCAGAGAGCCAACTGTAATTTCATTAGATAAAAGACATAAATAGTCTGTTTTAGGCAAATGGAGTGCTGGTCCTACTTGTCAGAAAGCAGGGTCTGTATTACGAGGGCTACTTCTAGGCTCTGGGATCTACTTCATTTCTGACCATCCCTGTACCAAAGCTGCTCTGTCTTATTTGTGCAACTTCAGGTTGAGCCTTAGTTCAACGCCCTCCCTTTATCTGATCCTTCTTCCAAGTTATCTTAGATAGTCTTGTCCTTTCACAAAGTTTTATAACTAGTAGACCCACTGGCCATATATCACTGAAAGGTAGACAAAACACACACACACACATACACACACACACACACACACACACACACACACACACACATGCAATGCTATCCTTTTGGTTGGGATTGTATTGATTTTATAGATCCACTGACATAATTAAAACATGGACTTGTGATCATGGTAGAGCTCTCCCTTTACTTCTTCAGCTCCTCTCACTGAAGTTTACAGTTTTCTAGGTGGGGTCCTGAATATCTCCAGTGGGATTTACTCTGAGGCAATAGAATATTTTTCGTGGTATTATAAATGGCCTTAAACATTTTTAACAGTTGATGTTGCATAGAAATACAAATAAGCTTTGTAAATTGAATGTGTGATCAGCTGCCTTACTTCTTTAAATTCTAATTATTTAGATTTTTCCATGAAAAGTAATCTAAAATATTTCAAGGCTGGTTCTTCCTTTCAAATCATTCTGTGTCTTACATATTTTTCTGGAGTTGCTGTATCAGCTAGAATCTTTATTAAATCATGAAGTAGGTAGTGACAACGTGCATCTTTGTCTTGGTCTCAGATTGCAGACCAATTGCTCCTTTATTTCTGTTTTTGTTGTTTCCCTTGGAAGCATGTTATTGCCTGCATGCAAATTTAGAATTGCTGTTTTCTGAACAAGCTGAATCTTCTTTCCAACTCTGTCGAGTCTCCTATGCTCCATTTTGTATTTTTCCATCCTTTTGACTTTGAGATTTTATTTACTATCTTTATCTCTCTGGAGGAAACAAAAATTAGATTAAACTATTTTAATGGTTCAAAATTTATAAATTCTCTGTGCCGAGGTTTCTATTAAATCTTACCTACTGAGTTTATTTGTTACTGTGTTTTTGAACTCTTGGAGTTCTGTTTCATTTGTGTTGAAAAGGCAGTGTGTCTTTTAAATATTAAATTACTTGCTGAAATGTTTTACTTCTTTTATCATCTTGATCCTAGAAAACTGAGTGGCCTTATCATTTGTGCTGGCTCTGTCTTCAGAGCTTTTGCGCTGCTGTTTCAGGGTCTGTTTTTGCTGGTTTCAGTTTCTGTTGCTATGGCCCCTCACACAATGCACTGTCTTCTAGTTCTGGCTGGATATTCTATTTGAAAAGCCGGTTTTAATAATAATTTGAGGCTTAAGAGTAATCTTCCCCCACAAAGAGGACTTCTGTTTGCTTCGACTATGTGAAGGTGAGGAGCAGTCGGCCAGGAACAATGCAGTCGGCCGCAGACTGGAAATCCCCAGGCTGTGCCCTGACTCAGCATGGGGCTGAGCGGTGAGCTGGCTGCTCTGACCCTAGAGTTCCGCTCCCATGGTGCCAAACAGAAGCAGAGGGGTAAATGGGCTCCACGCCTGACCGCCCAAACTGTCTACCTAGCCCTGAACACCCTCAGGATCCACGATCCAGTTTTCATCTCTCTTCTCCTCCAGCAAATGCCCCTGAGACACAGTGGCCCTAATTTCTACTTCTAGCTCTCTAGATTTCCAGTTCCCTTTGGTCCAGTCATTTCTCAGGAGCCCATTAGCTCTCCCATCCTTGATGTGATGCTTCTTTGTTTGTTTGTTTTTTTAACTATATTCAAGGGCCCGCATTACCTAGCTCACCACTATATGAACTTGATGTTCTTCACACCAAATATGAATTGGAGTGCAACCTCTGCTCTGGAACTTCAGAATTGTTTTGACGCTCAATTCACTTACACACTGAACCTGTTCCTTCATGTATGTGAAAGGATTTGAGCAAAGTTCCTTGGGATCTTGGGACTCAGTTTCTACCCATAGATTTTAGGATGAGGAGAGCATTAGTCAGATCTTCATTAGTTTGACAAATTCCCAAGACAAGTCAACTCAAAAAGAAAAACGGGTTATTTCAGTTCACAGTTCCAGGCCATGTGTTTTGGCCTCTGGTGAAGATTCCAGAGGGGAGCGGCAGTGAGCACTGTGCACCCGTGGCTCTGAGGTGACAGAACTATTTCCCTCATGACTGGAAAGCAAAAGAGAGAGGGGAGCCTGGGGCTTTCCTATCCCCTTCGAGGGTGCACCCCAATACTCTCAAGACTTTCCCTCAGGCTGTGCCCTTCCACTGGCTCCATTTCCTCCCAGTAGCTCATACTGAGAAGCAAAGCTTTAACCCATGGGTTTTGGGGAGACATCCCAGATTCCAGCTACAGCAAAGATCCACAAGAGAGGGGTGACAGGAATCTGTGACAGCTGTTCCCATACAGCTAAAAAAAAATTGGAATATAGTAGGTTCTCATAAGTATTTTGCAGGAAAAATAGAGAGAACAGAAATGGAAGGAAAGCTTGCAAGCAAGCAATTTGCTAAAGTTTTGGGGGGTCTTGTTTTTGTTTGTTTTTGAAGACAGGGTCTTGCTATGTAGTTCAGGCTGACATTGAACTCACTACGTAGCCCAGGCTGGCTTCATTTGTTTGTGGAAATCCTCCTTCCTCAGCCTCTTGAGTGGTAAGATTACAGGTGTGCGACACCACATCCAGCTCTCTAGTTTTGTTTTGATCTGTGGTGTCCCTCATCGCCATAAGAACTGTCAGGCCCACCCTGGGGTAGTCTTGGCTTGTCTGTGGTCAGACAAAAAGAAGAGGACTGAGACTAGTCTGGCCTGCAGAATCCGGGGAAACTTTATTAGCTTGTGATGCCCACCAGCCTTGTGGGAGTAAGAAAATACAGCACTTGAAGCCCCACTCAAAGAAGTACCCATGACAAAGGTTTCTACCTATACAGAAATCCCCAGCCCATCACCACACCACTACAAAAAGGATCCTTCTCTGCAACAATCAAAATGAGGGAATTCAGCCTTTATCACAAAAGGCGCGAGAAGTCATTTCACAGTGAGAGTTCTGCACTTCTGGTTTGCTTAGTTGTTTTTGATGCCATTTTTCTTTTTGTATCTCTTACCATCTTTGATCATGAGGCACCCACTCAGTGACCCCACATGCAGTACCTATCACACATAAGGGATAGCAAGAAGTGGTGCTGGCTATGACTTGATGGCATTTTGCTGAAGCACAGAGACACTCAAGGGCTGTGGCTGAGTACACACTCATCTTGGGGACAAAAAGACCAAAATACAGGGCAAAGGAAGTTTGCCTTCATCACCCAGCCCCTTAGTCAGAGTGTTTGCCTCTATTCTGACTGCATATCTGTTTTTAACCCTCCTTTCCACATCAGGTTAGATATCTACCATAGCTTCCTAAATTCTAGCTGTAAAATAAATTGAATGTTCCCATGTCACAAAGATGAAGGAAACTAATTAGCAACCGCTTCTGTGGGTCCACTTATGTACATGTGCAGAGGACCATAGTATTGATGATGCCCAAAGCTGGCTTTGAAGAATTGGCCCCACAACTGGCTTGTTTATAGGAGTGAGTCTGCTGAAGCCTACATGCAAAGGTCAGTGTAACTCGCACCCAAATTCTGTTCCCACGACTAAAACCTTCAAGCTAGAAGGACAATGTAATTACAACTGTGTATTTTATCTATTCTGCTCCTAATTCGAGAATGCTTTGCCTTGTCCTTTATGAGCCTTGTTTACATTAATTTCCATAGAAACCACTAGCAGCTCACCTTTACCTCAGTTGATTGCCAATAAGTCAGTGCCTGGGACCGGCCAGTGCCTTTGTTAGTTGCACCAGCATCGGCCATCCTGGGCCTGCTCTCTCTCCTAGTTCTGTCTCTTAGTACTTTTTTTTTTCCCCCTCAGGCCTGCATCACACATTGGGCAGGTGTGGACTAGAGACTTACTGCAGGAGTCCCTGGCAATTTCTCCCCCTTCTCTGCTTGAAAACAGCAGCTGCATCGGGTCTGGTGATCTTTGCAAGTCCCAGGACTGTTGCAGGTGAGCGGAGTTACTCAGATGGAGCCTCTGCATAAATGGTGCCTCATTACTTTTCTTCTGTCAAACTGATTTCACCTCTGCTTTTTGGCTGATTCTAATTCTGGATTGAGCGCAATTTGATTTTGGAAAATGTCATGTTTTCCCCATGGCTAACGGGAGAGCATTGCAATTTCATAGATTACTGCACTGTCAAGAATCTGCACATTGATTTTTTTTTTTTTTGCCTTTTTAAAAAAACTTCATGCATTTTAAAAGCAACCTGTGGGGTACTTTTTCTTTTTACAACATGAAAAAGGAAAAATAGATGCCTAGGCCAAAATACATGGCTGTAAAAAGCCAATAGAGATGAACTTACAGAGGAAATTAAAGATTTGCTTCTGGCTGATTTTACTGGTAAAGATAAGTGAATGCTGCCACCATTAATAGCTCAGATAATACAGCTCAAGCTTGACCTTGCATTTCCAGTTTCTTCTTGTTCTACGGAGAAGCAAATCTGCCAATGAACAGGGATTCATCTATGGTATTGTCCTTAATAATGAAGATGAAAGGGTGGTTGGCCGAGAAATTTACCTCCTGGGTCAGCATGGCAAAGACAGCGACGCCTGCTGTGGCAGCTGCTGCCTCTGTACCCTCCTCATTCATTTCTACAAAGGCCTTGTGGATAATTTTTGATATAGAAAGATCTCTGGCTCTGGATATACCAGACAGATCAGCCTTGCTACTGCTAAAGAGATCCCGCACCCCCAGATGGGCGAGACTGTCATTAAGGCTGTAGCTCTTTTCCAGTTTGAACCTCGGCAGCTGGACATTGACCTCAATGGTCTCCAGATCCTCAGTCCACTCACGCAGTTTTTCCAGTGTCAGTTGTTTCTCAATCTGGAATTAAGATGAGGCAAAAAGAAGTGAAATCAGTTTTACGTAAGTGAAGTAATAAAGCACTCTTTAAATGTACGAACTTACAATAACAATCGCTATCAAATTTCCTTCATGTTTTATGCCAAAACAGATTCCATTTGAAGTGTTTTGTTCCTATCTGGTGGTTGGACAAATAGGACAGAGCTATGTTCCATATCATCAAGTACAGGGACTTTGGACATCAGGTCTATCATCTATCTAGCCACTGACCCACCCACTTGTCCATCCATCCATCCACACACCCATCCATCCATCCACTCATCCACCCATCCACCCATCCACCCATCCATGCACTCACTGACCAACCCACTTTTCCATCCATCCTCCATGCATCCATCCATCCATCCATCCACTCATCCACCTATCCACCTACCCATCCATCTACCCATCTGCCCATCCATCCCTCCCTCCATCCATCCATTCAGGACCACTAAGCCCTTGCCAAACTGGATCACTGTGATAGGCCATGCCAGCTTTCACTACCCTAATTGGTTGAATGTTGTAAAGGAAAATTTTAAAGGCTTTTGTTAGTTCTGAAATTCAGCAAAACTTTGGTAATTGTTAATCTCACTGCAGCTGAGGTGAACTCTAATCACTTTAGCTCCCATGTAAAATTGTAAATGGCAGATATGTACTAGATCTAGCCCCTCCTTTCAAATGGGGACAACAATTCAGCCTGCCTGTAGCATTGCTTGAACATTAAATGAATCGAAGTGTTCCAAATGCTTGCACCACACAAACATGAGCTGTACTATCATTACAGCTATTGTTGCTCTTAGACTAGAACAGAACCATCATTTCATCATCCTACCGAGTTGATGCTTCATTACATAAAACTACAGACTTTCACTTTGCAATGAAAGAAAAGACTAATACAGAAATACAACTGGAAGAAGGAACGCATTGATGCATACATTGGTCTCATACATTAACATGCGAGGGATTAACATTAAACCCCTTCCTGATAGCAAATTTGGCTGTGAAGGAAAGAAAAACCACACCACAGGCAAGGATCACTAAAGGAAAACTGTAACCTTCATAATTTTGCCTAGGTTTAACCCTGGCATGAGATACTCTGGTCTTTAAACTACACATAACGGAAACAACATGCAAAATTCATGTTAGGAAATAGGCCCAAGCCTGATGCTGCCTTGGTACATTAGTGTTTTTCTATCATATACCTATTGGAAATTTAATTCATTATTCATATGAATTATGGTAAGAATGAACAGTATAATAGTAAGTAAGGCTGTAGACTAATATGTTTTGGGTTCTTAAGCCTTTTTCCTCAGCACAATAATCTTCATGTGCTATGCTTTCCTTTAAAGTTAATTCCAGGGACTTTCCATAAGCTGCCACAAGCTAATGTTACATTTTGTTTAAATCTTCAAATGTTTCTCATCATGACTACCCACTGAAAGTGCATCTTGAAAATACTAACTTAGGGCCTCTGGGTTAGGGGTACAGCTCAGTGACAGAGGACTTGCCTAGCAGGTACAGAGCCCTGGGTTTGATCTGCAGCACCACAAAATAATGATAATGATAATAATAATTTTTATAATCTACCATACATACAGAAAAAATAAAAGAAAACCCAGATCACAAAGCTGGGGTGCCAGTACCTCCTCCAGACCTGTGGTGTCATCCTCGATGTCATCAGGCAGCAGAATAATCATGCTGACCTTCTGGCCTTGGTAAGGCAGCTCCAGCACCTGGCACTTAAGTTCCTTAATGTAGCCATATGGAAATCTTGCCGTCTGACACATCATCTTCACTGTTTTTGTGTCTTTCTAAATAGTTTTTAAAAATCACTTAAATTATTCTTTTAGAGCTTCTTTTGAGGATGGGGTGTAACTCAGTGATACAGTGTATGGTTAGCATGGGGGAGGCCCTGGATTTCCCAGCACAAGAAGGAGAAGAAAGTGGAGGAGGATATGGAGGAGAAGAGAAAGAAGAAGAAAGTAAAGAAGAAAAGGGGAAGGGGCAGGAGAAAGAGAAGAAGAAGGGGGATAAGAAGAAGAAGAAAAGGAAAGAGGAAGAAGAGGAAGGGCAGGCAGAGGGGAAAGAAAGAATAATTTTGGGCAGTTATATCGCCTTACCTTGTTCAATCTGAATGGCATATCAATTGTGTCACTTTTCAGGAATTTCTCCTGCCACATCCCTTTGAAGTAGATGGCATTCACTAATACAAGCTTACTTGTGTCATCAAGGACACCTGGAGCCAACAGTTCTGGAATTTTCCCTTAAAAGACAAAGTGAGCTTTTTCAAAGCTCCATTTGGAACTCCAAACAATTTAGTAGCAATGAAATATGATTCAAATGTATACTTATGACTTGATTTTCCTTTAACACTGTATTAAATTAGGAAAACCCAACTGGGATGTCTGCTGTATATAAATGAATTTGTGCGGCAGACTAGGATGAATATAAACCACCCTCAAGGCAATCACACTTGAAAACAAGCCACTGTGGAGGCTGGGAGTGTACCTCAGTGGTAGAGCACTTGCCTAGCATGTACAAGGCCCAGAGTCCTGTCCCCAATGCTCTAAAAGAAAGAGAAAAGTCAAATGTGCTCAAAGGCTAAAAACAGAAGAACTCTCCTTCCCTGGATCATGTAAAAGCAATGAACATTATTTTGCAAGTGGTCATTGCTATGGTTTGTATCTAGATGTCCCCCCAAAGACTCACACAGTTGGAGGTGGCTGGATCTAGGGTGTGTGATGCTGGGATTAAGGGTGTATAGTTACTAAATTAGTCCACTGGTTGGTTTTGTACCACCGTAATCCTGGTAGCCTAAATAAAACATAAAGGGACAGAAAGAAGCCACTGTTGTCCCTTGTTTGCTTTTGCTGCCTTCTGCCTACCATGAACCATTTCTGCAATGTCCCTCTGCCATGTCACCTTGCTTTGGAGCCAGCTGATGATGGACCTCTGTAAGATGTCAACCAAAATAAACCTTTCCTCCTCTAACTTTGAGTGTTGTGTATTTTGTCTCAGAAATAAGAAAAGTAACTAAGGCAGTCATTCTTTTACAGGAAAAAAATTCCTTTAAAAAAATGATTTGGGTTACTCACAAGTAAATCACTTCTTCAAATCTGCCCAGTAGAAGCAAAATGATTACAAAAATGACTTTAATAAATAACTAAAAGGTACTAGTTTCTCCACTGCCCCAAAGGCTCCCCTGTAACTGCACGTACCACACAGTACAGTTCCTGCAAGGTGGGGCACATGTGGTCTTCATCTTCATGGGTAAACTCACAAGGCAACTGTGTCAGAAGCCAGAGGCACCAGATGGGTAAATTGCCCCAGACAGGGTATCAGTCCCACCCACCACGTGGGGTTTACTGGACAAGATGTTGGCAGAGAACATGACTGCAGAAGCTGATGAATTCTAATTTCCTGTAGCCTGTGAAATTCTGTATTCTGTTTCTACTTGGGGTAGGTATTTGTGTTCCTCTATTCTGCATTTAGTGCTGGTTTGAACTTTAAAATATACTTTGGCATAACTTAGGGGAAGAAGGTTAAGGGGTGTGTGTGTGTGTGTGTGTGTGTGTGTCCCACTTCATGGGTGGGGCATGACTCACACGGGTCAGCATCTGACAGTAAACATGCACAGATCAGGGTGCGAGAGGCTGGGGAGGAGAGGGATGGGACACGGGTGGGGAAATGCACAGGGGGAAAGGACCTGCACCTAATGTCTCTGCCACGGTCTGCATAATGTCCCCCAAAGGCCCATGGATTGGCCCACAACATGTCACTTGTGGGAAGAGGTGGAGTCCTTAAGAGATAGTGTGGTGGGAGGTATTCAGGTCACAGGGGCATGGCCTTGAAGGGGACAGTGTGACACCTGTCTCTTCCTCATTCTTATCTCTTCCTCTCTTCATACCTGGCCATGATATGAAGGTGCCGCCCTCCTCTGCCCTACTCTACCACTGTGATGCCCTGTGCCATCATGGGCCCAAATCAACAGGGCCAAGGGATTGTGAACTGAAATTTCTAAAACTGTGAGCCAAAATAAAGCTTTCTACTCTGTAAGCTGACTGTCTCTGGTGTGTGTTCCAGTCCTGGAAAGCTGACCAGTACAGGTTCCAGACACCCGGCCACTTACCTTCTGTCTGTTCTTTGACCCACTTGTTTATTTTCTTTCTTGTGTTCTCAGTGTCATCCTGGAAATCCACGCTGACCATTTCTGCACCATACATTTTCTTAGTTGAGGCCAAGAACTCCTATTTTTTAAAAAGTGGCATGAGCAATTCTATTCATATGGTAGTGTTTTTCTAAAACCCCCCAAAAGAAGAAATTGTCCTAAAAGGTTTCATTCAATTGTAACACAAAAATTCTAACCCATACACTTTTTTAAAGCTATGGTCCAAAACACTGCACTAAATGTCTTGACCGTTTTTATGGGTACAGTTCAGTCTCAGTAAGTTTAGCTTTTATACTATGTGTGTCCCACCAAGTATACCAATTCTTCTCAAACATTGGACTGACATTTCAGAAGTAAGAAAATGATGATTGTACTTGGAAATGAATCATAGGATTCGCTTCGGCTCTAGAGCTTCCATAGGTGTCAGGCACAGCAGCATGCCTGCAATCCCAGCTACCAGGAAGAGGAGGCAAGAGGACGGCAAGCTCCGGTCCAGCCTAGGCAACTTAGTGAAACCCTGTCTCAAAATAAAAAGCTTTCAAAGGTGCCCAGGAAGTAGCTCAGAGATAGAGCACTTGCCTAGCATGCACAAGGTCCTGGGTTTAGCCCCAGGAAGGGCAAAGGAACAACAAATAATGCAGACATCTTTTTACTGTTGAGACTATAAACAAAACCATTAATGGGAGTGCTGACTGCCATATACTTTCATTCTGTATTGTTTTTATGAATGTTAATAAATATTAAAATTGACCTCTGAGACTTCACTGGAAATTAGTCCACATTATATAGTAGAGTTTTATAATATGAGCTGCAAAGTACTCACCGGGAGGAAATCATAGGTTTTCTCTCCATATAATCTGTTAGCAAGTTTCAGAGTATAGGAGGCACCATGTTTATTCAGCTTTGCATTCAGGCTCTGAAAACCTGAATGAACATCCTTAACCATATCAAAGTGAAGAGCCTAAAATAGAGAAAACATTTCTACAACCATTGGTTTTGAAATTATGATGAAGTAATTCCTTGGTATTTGCTGCCACCAAATTAAATTACTGTGCTTTTAGTTCTAATTCTTGATTCCCTAGCTCAATTCCATATTAATTTGTCATTCAAGAAGAAATACTAGGGAATCCAGAATTTATGGCTAGGTGAGATATATTAATTGTAACATTAGAAACTGCATTTTACAATACTTTTAGTTACAATTATAGTTTCAAAAATGTGAGTGAACTTATCCGCTCTCATTTGTGGAACCAAAATTCTGTCTGCTTTCAAAATCAAAATCAGTGTGTTGATGTTGATGTTCTGTATCATCTATAATTTTATTGAAATTTCTCATTAACGAACAGTAAAAAATGAAACTCATCCCTTATGCTGAACCACAAAGATATTTCAGACTAACTCACTATTTAAAACAGTGTCTCTAAACTGAGCATTCTGGGGGAAGCTTAGCTCCCTGTGTGTCAGTTACAAGCCAAGAGGCCCTTGTGGTTTTATGAGGCCTGGGCTGCTTCCTGCTATGGAGACACAGAAAACAAAACCACCCGTGTCCAAAGTCCACAGGTCGAGGAGATACGGAATTCTCCCACTGTTGTTGTGATCCACCTGAGTTAATGAAAATGAGGAAAAAAAATCTTAAAACTCTTCTTTGCTCAATTATAAACTCCCTGGAACACCTCAAAATAGGAATTGCTATAACTCCGCAAGAAGCAACTAACAGCGTCTTTGGTTACAAAAGTGGATTTTTAAAAAATAAAACTTCTGATGCTTTTGTATCTGCACAACAGTAGAGCTTTGCAGTTCAGGAGCTTCTTGAATTTGAACCCAGAGCTGTACCTTTCCAGGGAGCAGGTGCAGCAAAATGTGTGGCAAGAGTGGCAGGAAACCCTCCAGAGTTGCTCCTCCTTCCTAGGCCTCCAGAGAAAGCCATTGTTCCTTCTAAGAATTAGACACTGTCAAGTACCGACAAGCCCACGGGGCCCCTAAGGAAGGCAGAATGCCCAGCTGTCCCAGCCTCTCCACCCTGCCAGGGATTCAATCCTTCTAACTCCTCTCGCTGGCAGCCCTCAGGGCTATGCTGGTGGAGGCACAGCTTCCAATCCCCCAAATACCAAACCCCACTGTCCCTGTAATAAGGCAACACCACCACCTTCCCCACTGCGTGCCTTCCACGTGCTCTGTACCCTTCTGCTCAGAGGTAACGCTGCACAACGTACATCACGCTTGCGGCCAGGCACCACGCACAGAGCAAAACACAGACAGCAGCTCAGGGGCAGTGGAGACTCCCTAGGACAGAAGCAGCACCCTGCAGGGATTGTGCTGCTTGCTTCACTGATGTACCCTCAGCTAGACAAAAACAAGTGCCTGGCACATAGTAGGTGCTCAGGGAAGAGCCAACAACCAACAAGAGCCTGCAGGAGACTCGACTGTTCACGGGCCTTTCCCAGCAACTGATCTCACAGCTCGGTCACGGTTCCCAAAGCCCTCTGCAAGAGCACAAAAGCACCAACTGCACGTTGGCAGGAGCGAGCGCGAGAGGGACCACCTCTGCTGACCTTGGAGAGCTGTGCTGCGGTGTCGCCCCGGGTCCCCAGGAAGACCATGCCCATGGCCGAGGAGATGCTGTAGGGCGAGATGAAGACGTTCCCCGTGCGGTCATTTTTACACAGGAGAAGGAAGATGTCCAAGGCAAAGGCGGTGTTGGCGGTGCTCAGCGGCTCCATGGCCAGGCCTGCGACACAGCACAGGGACTCGAGTGACCCCCGCCCGGGCCGCCGCCTGGCCTTCCCTGGTCCTTCTCCATAGGCACCAACCCCAGACACACCCTGGAACTTGCACTTCAGCCCCTCTTTTCTCCGAGAGGGCAAGAAGGCTCGACCGGGGCCACACAGGTGGGGCCCGGCCACGGTCTGGCTCCCTGGCCAGGCTCCCTGAACTTGGAAGCAAACTCTGTTCTATTCCTTGTCCCAGACCTTCATTCACTGAAGCAAGGGATTTTTGCCTATGTTTTTCGGAAACAGCGTTTCCAGTAGAAAATCATAGCAACCCACTCCACCAGAAATCCTGGTGACCTACTGTGCGGGTAAAACTGAGATCAATACAGCTCTCTCCTTCTGGTGAGGCCGCTGCGCTGTCCAGCAGCAGTCTTGAAGCTGCCAGGACGCCCAGGGTGACAGCCCTGTCCCCCGTGTCCGGGCACGAGGCGGGGGGGGGCAGTACCCTCTGTCCCCGCGTGGACGGTGTTGTCTGACCCGCTTGCCCCTCTGCCAGGCCTCCGTCCCTAGTACAGTACGACGGGGACAGGCGGAAGGGCGACCCCGGAACTGTGCGCCTAGCTCCCGGAGGGAGAGGCAAGAGCCATCCAGCAGGAGTCGCGTCGGAGGACCCCGGTTGTCCCCGCCCCTGGGGAGCCTCCCCGCGGAGCCCCCAAGCCCAGTTTACCGGCTGCTCTGCGCGGGGTGTTCGACCTGGGCTCCTGACTGGGAAGCGTCCAGGGCCCACGCCCTTTATAGAGAGCGGAGGCGGAGGAAGGCCGGGTGGTGCCTTCCCGTGACTCCCGGCCCGGCTTCCTGGGCTGGGGAGAAAAGCGAAGTTTGCGAGGACACGGCACAGTGCCCTCTTCCGGGCGTCAGGTCTTTCTCAGCTGCGGTCTCCGCACATTTCTGATGGGGACCCAGTGCACTGCCTCTTACTAAGCTGTGCATGGCTGAGAGGACACGAGCGTTTCTTTTAGGGCACAGTTTCGTTTTGAATCCCATCTATATGTATTAGGGTTCAGAGGGGGAAGAAAGCTAATTTGGGGACTCTTGCAAAGGAGAAAGCAGGGGGCCCCCAGGATAAGGTGAAAATAGCTCTTCCGATGAGCCCGGCCTGCTAATCTCCGATCCCGAAGACCTCAGGCCCGTCCCCTGGGAGTCACCGCCACGCACACCAATTCCTGCCCACTACGCTGACATTCTGAGCAGATTATAAAGTTAAAACGATTAGTGTTGAACAGTACTGGAATAAATATTCTTGTTTGCCTCTTGTTTTAAACGTCCAGATGGGTAATTTCACCAAAACTTAACAGTGCTTGAAGGTATAAAACAATAGTGTTTCCAGAACTCTGCTTTCTCGGCAGCTCTCATGAAAAAAGAGACAAAACTCCCTCTGTTTTGTTAGCCTGAGCCATTTCACATGAAAGGGCCAGTGGACTTTATGTATTATTTATTTTTACTCTGAGAACTTCTTTCTAATGAACAAAAAATCACAATAATGGGTGGTAAAAATACTCCCCATAGTTTTAAAAATAAAATTGCATATTGTTCTGCAGTTTATTGCAAGACAGTAAGCCAGTGCTCACTGATAGCCAGTCCTAGTTGAGTGGACTGGTTTGTGTCTGATGACTCTGCAACGCTGCCCACAGAACTCAATAACCACTGCAGTCAGAAAGTCAAGACCAAAAGGCTATTTTATTTTTTAAGTAAAACTTTAAGATATGTAAAACTAAGGAAACGGTATTATGATTTTTTTTTTCTTTTGACATCTTGTATGTGTGCTCATCTGGAGTTTAGCAATCTGGGCCAATATAAAAGGAAATGGTTTCCTACATTAGTACACACATTATAAGTTTCAGGCAGAATTGGCCTGTACTCTTTCGTCAGCACAGTGCAGAAGAAGGTGCTGTCAGTGGTTGGAATCCCCTGCCCTGGGGTGCCTCAGCCCAGCAGTCCGGAAGGGGCACACATTCACCTGCACCATCAGAAGGAAGGATGGAGTGTGACCGGGCTCGAGACCCCAGCACCCTGGCCTTTCTTGGTCCCACCCCTCACCCCTGGGGCCCAGGTAGGGACAGAGTTGGGGCTTTGTTTCCAGGGGCCCTGGCTAGGGCACTGTGGTGTTCTGTACTGCAGACTGTCACCCAGGGGAAGGGAGCAGGTGGTTGGAACCCCGCGCTGAGACACCAGGAATAGCCTGGTCCTGGCTGCCCCAGTTTCCCCACCCCTCAGCTCACTGCTCCTCAGAAGGTGCTGCAGTGCTGGGTCGCCCTGGCACCTGAGGGCAGGATGTGGGGCCCTGCTGCCCTGGTCAGATGGCACCACCCTCTTGCAGGCTGCCTCATGACCAGTCTGTCTTCTGTTGCTGTGGGAGTCGTTGATCCATCCTTCAAAAGCCCTATCAGCCCATGGATGCCAGGGGTGGAGGCCCCTCATACTCTGGAGAGTGTGCCCATGGCTGGGGCTGGCAGGAACCGATCCTGCTTCCAGTGGAGCCCTGCAGGCATCCAAACATGTGGCCTAAGTTCTTCCTGAGGGCAGTAACTCCTCACTGTCCCCACAGTGGCCCACCTGGGTCCCTCTAGGCAGAAAGCTGCAGCTGCCATCCTTCTGACCCGATGTACAGACTGCTGGCAAGGGAGCTGGTGCAAATGGGGTGGTGGCAGAGGGGCCCCGTGTGGCCATCACACTGGAGTTTGGCCCATTGTGGAGAAAGTCCAAGTCCATGTCCAGTTTCAGTCAGAAGCTGGCCAACCCCTGACAGACGGCAGCCACAGCCCTGAGGACCCCATCTGCTGTGGATTCATAGAGCCCTCAGGAGCATGTCTCTGAGTCCTGGACTCAGTTTCCACATGACTCTTGGTGGGAAGGTACACAAACATTCTAACTTCACATCCCAGCCCCAGCTGCCCCTAATTCATGTGTGCTGAGGTTTGGAGGAGGTTTGAGTGTCACTTCCAAGGATTTCTGTGTTGAAATACGATTCCCACTGTACAGAAACTTGATGTTAGTAAGATGTTTAGAGGCAAGGTCTTTAAGAATGGATTAGGACAGAAAAGTCACCAGAAAGAGCCCCATAACCCACTGTGGTGGGGGAGGAGGTGAGATTGACCAGAGGAGATGCCTGTCCCTTGTCATTCAATGTCCTCTGCTGCTGTGGGACTCCATCAGCACAAGGGTCACCCTCACTATCATCATCATCATGTACCTGGAGGCCCTTGAGGCCCCAGAAGTGTGAGTCCTGGAGTTAAATAAACCTCTTTTCTTTATAAAGTCGCCCATCTGCAAGTATTTATTATAGTAACACAACACAGACTGCTACAACATCCTCAGGGGCACTCGTTGCATTTCAGCAGCCCCCAAGCCCTCCCACCACTGCATGTTGGAAGCGCATATGTTTGATCTTCCAAGTTCACAGTTCCAGGGGAGCTGCCTCAGCATGAGTCACAGTGCTGATCTCACCTCTATCTGATTTGGATACTAGAGTAAATATTTATTATAATTATTATAGTTATTATGTTTAAGTCTTACAGATATCAAATCCCCTGCAGCTGTGAACCTGTGAAAATCCAACAGATTATGGACTTCCAACCCAGTGGTGAGACAGGCTCAAAGCAGACATTCCCATTGAAAATGGGCAAGAGTGAAGGAGTGACAGGTCCCACCGAAGTCCAAACCCAGAGTCACAAACGACATTAAGCCTTAGCTGGAGAATAATCTGTGTCCTGTGCTGTACCTCTGGATGCACTGACCCAGAGGTTGGGCATCCAAGGATCCAGGGACCTCGCCCTGACTGCCCCAAGCAGTGGGTGTGGGTCACCCTGGGCCTGCAGTTTCCCAGGCTGGCATTGTATATGAGGACTCGGGGTGGCCCCACCCTAGTGGGGACTTTGTGGGAGCCCAGCCCCATGTCGCCAATGGGCATTGCCTGGGTGGTTCCTTCTCTGCTCAGGCCCAGGGCTGTCTAAGGCATCCTTTGAAATCCAGGTGGAATCAGTTGCACCTCTATAGTCCATGTTCTCTGCTCGCCCATGGAGTCAGCACCATGGGCACCGTCAGGGTTTACTGGAGCACTGGGCTAGGGATTGCTGCACCAGAATGAAGGCAGAAGAGTCCAAGTCCCATGGTAGCTGGGCTGCCAGCAGGTCCCGTGGTACCATGGGTGGCTCCATGGAAACGCTTCTGCCCGCTGGGCCTTGGCACTCTGGGCTGTGATGGGAGTGGCAGCACTGATGAGCCCTGGGACAATATTGCGCTCATTCTTTCATCATCTTAATAGCACCTTGGTGTCTTCTAGGCACACTAATCTCTCCGTCAAATGTTAGTGTTGGACACACTGAGTGCTGTCTTGAAAGCATCTTTTCCCGATTCTTTGCCGTTTCACCTCCCTTTTGATTATCAGCTCTGTCTTTAATTTGTTGTCTGCTCCCGGCATTTTACCATAACCAATCCGAACTGCTCAATGCTACCAACCTCAGAGATTTCTTCCACGAGAATCCTCTCTCCATGCTGTTAACTTCTGCCACTTACAAAGCCCCGTGACATAGACACGATTCCTCCCTCCAAGTTCTTTGCCATTGCCCAAAGGGTGGTCTTTTCTCCACTTCCCGGTACCTCGGTCCCTACTTCCACCTAATACAATCAGAATCCACATTTCTGTCAATGTCCTGATCACTGCTGTACATTTACTCTCCATGAAGATTTGGGCCATCCCAACTGCTCTCCTCCTCCTCTTTGAGGCCTCCCCAGATGCCTCCTTGGCCCTCTGCTCATGCATTCCAGCCTTTTCCTAGCATGTTCCTCCAAACTCTCCCAGCCTCCACACATTACTCAGCTCCAGTGCTACTTCCTCATCTCATGGTGCTCAAGACAGCAACAGTGCTCACTGGATATGGACAGCGGGGGATCCTCACCCCAGGCGGGAGAGAGGGACAAAGTGAAACCGAGACATCCACACAGCACTCAGAAAGGCACATGCTTTACCACTGAGATGGCTTGTTTAGTTCTGGAATTTTCGACAATGTTTTCAGGCCAGAGGTGACCACAGGTCACCGAGACCCTAAGACTTGGGTGTTGCTGGATTTCTGAGTCATCCCACCTGCCCTTGAGCCCCTGAAAGTGAAGGACTCTCAGACTTGTCTTGGCCATCAAACAAGCCCATTCCGCACAACCTTCTCAAACATCTTGAGTTTCTTCTCCTTTGCTCTTTAAAAGCAATTTGGAATGAGCTTGTTTCCCCATTAAGTTAAGGAAACTGTTATTAAGTGAATTTTGACATTTTAAACAAGTTGGAGCTTAGTGGGATTATAACTCTCAGTAATGTTTTGTAAAGATGTTAGACTTGATGATTTAGGTAAATAATTTTTGTGATTGTACTATCTAGATAATATGTTTTGTTTTAGATAATCATTCAACAATCCATGAGCAGTTCAGCAATTAAAAAGTTTAAACTGAAAAGGGCTGGGTGATGTGGAGCATGCCTGCAATCCCAGAACTCAGGAGACTGAGACAGGAGGATTTCCATGAGTTCGAGACCAGCCTGAGCTACTTACTGAGTTCGAGGTCAGCCTGAACTACATAGTGAGCCCCTGTCTCAAAACAAAAACAGAAACAATAAACTGAAAAAGTAGTTTTTGTATGCCCTGGCCTATATTTACTATAGTTAAAGGAAAATATGAAAATAACATGTTAATTGCCTAAATAATTAATGAACTGTTTTTTTTCTTTTTTCTTTTCTACAGTGCTGGGATGAAACCCAGGGCCTTACAAGTGCTAGGCAAGCACTCACAGCTGAGCCACAACCCCAGCCCTCTAAACTCCTTTGAACTATTTGTTTTTCACTTGTTAAAACAACAGGAGAACACCTTCGCTCTGCAGATAATCCTTTTCCTTGCAGTAGCCTAAGGATTTGAGTGGAATAGTAGCTTCCTGAGGATGAATACTTCGGGACCCTAAGCTATGCCTGTAAGTTATAAGGTGCAACTAGGAAAGTCTAAAGTCATTTACATTTTCCCATCCCAGGCAACATAAGTGATCAAAGCCACAGAAACAGGCAAGATAATCCCTGGAGGTTTCCTCTACTTAACTCTTTTAGTCTTTGCCCGCTAATAAACAGCCACTCAGCTGTCACACAACTCAGTCCACCAGGGGGCAGACTTTGCCCACAGTGGGCTGAGCACTGGCCCTTCAGCCCTGAGGTGGGAAGCCAGGCCCTTCCTGAGATTTTCTTTCCTATTCAAACTCCCACACCTTCCTAGGGCAGCTGAAATTCTATCATTCATTTCATCTTAGAAATATACGTGTAAATGGTTATGCTTTTTCTTCGATCTGCCTCCTCCTCCTTTCCCCGTCCACCTCCTGGGATTCTTTTATACCTCCTGGGATGCTAACAAACACCTTCTCATTTGGGCTCTGCTCGCTGTCCCTCTTATGTGTCCTTCTCTGCCACCTGGACTTCTCCTCTCAGCCCCAGTAACCTCCTGTTGGTTATGTAGCAAGGTCCTCATCAGAAATTGACTGTAGCCCTCAAACATGACATCAGGAAGAGGGGGCTTTGACCAGTCATCCACTGCCATGTCCAGGCACCCAGAGCAACACTCAGCACACAGTGAGGGTTTCATAAACTCTGCTGAAGGCATAATGAAGGTTTTAGCCCAGAACAAACCAAGCCTGTGGGCTGATGATGTGATGTTGCTCATCCAAATTTCCTAACAGTAAATGGAAGTAATTTCAAACTGAATTAACAGATAACTCAACTGTGAGTGGAAGCAGAGCCCAAGGGAGAAGTGCCCAGGCCCCAGGGCTGTTGACTGTAATGCACAGTGTGACAACATGCTCGGCTTCACCACACTGAGAAAGTCTGCCTTGAGAATGCATAGCTCAGGAAGATGGACTTACAAAAGCCTCTTACTGGTACTTTGAGAACAAGAGAAACCAAGGTAAGACGGCACTACAGTAAAGCAGTGTCTGTGGAGACAGGCACCATCCACAGTGTGAATGCCTGGGGTAGGAGCTCTCTCTCTCTCTCCAGGTGAGCCACAGGCTCTGCAGGGTCCAGTTTCACTTTCTGTTATGGTTCACTGTCCCCAGAGTCTGTCCCCACAGGTCTCTTGTTCAGAGGTGGGGCCTGTCTGGAAAGGGTGCATCCCTGGGGTCTGAGCCAGAAGGGTCCCTCCCTTCTCTCTCTGCTTCCTGCACTCCAGAACATGCTGTCCCTCTTTCCCATGAGCACGTGCATGGACACACACACACACACACACACACACACACACACACACACACCAGGCCCTCTGCCATGTTTCTGCCTTGGAGCCAGCTGACCTTGGCTGACACTGGGAGCTGAAATCAACCACTCTTCCTGTAAATTGCACGTGTTGGGTGTTTTGTCCCAGAGATAGGAAAGTGACTATCACACCCTCTCATAACTTTGATGGAGACAGAGAAGGGCACAAAGAATGCATCTGCCACCAGCCCAGACCTTGTGCACTGGATGACAGGATGAAGACTCAGAATAACCCCACTAGCGAGCATGTCGCCTCAGACCAATGGGAAGAAACAGAATAAAGAGAATAGAGGTGTGTTAAATATAGATTTAAAAAGAAAATCAATTTTGCAAATGCCACAGGGGGAGGCCTATTTTAGTAATGATTCGTGTGCAGAAAAATTCTAAGATTTCAGCTGACACAAGCTCCGTATTCACCAATATGATTCTGAAGGGCTTAGCAGTAATAGAAACAAATCCTCATCCCATGGGGAGGGGGAGGGTCTCGGGGCATACACTCTGGCCTGACCTGTTAGAGAATGGCTTCCAGATGTGTGAGCCATAGTCCGAAGGAGAAGTGGGTGATGCTCCAAGAGGAATTGGATTCGTTTAAATGAAAGAAAATAAAACTCCAAAATGGGTAGAGAAGAAATCTCTATGAAGATTATATTCATCATCTTTTCATTACTGAGACAAAACACCTGACACGCAATTTAAAGGAACTTGGGCTCACGGTTTCAGAGGTTCAGTCAATTGCCAGCTGGATCCAAGGCAGAAGCATCATGGCAGAGAGAAGCTGCTCACCTCATGGCACCCAGAAAGCAGAAAGCAGGGAAAGAGCCTGAGAGGAAGAAACTGGGAATGGGTGGGGGCCTCAAATTCTCACCCTCCTGACTCACACTGTTACACTCACATGGTACTGTGCTTTACTAATCACCTAGGCATTGCTCAAGCCACTTAAACTAATGACTGAGGTTAAGTGTCCCAGAGACCTAAGTCACTCCGTACAGGAGTTTGGAGGAAGGGCCCAAAGTGCCAACCTAAGTAACAGTCAAAGAGATGATCTCTGAGTCATGATTTGATGGAGAGGGGGCCCTTAGACTGAGCCCAGGGTCTTGGCAGTGTTCTGTCACTGAGCCACATCCCCAGCCCTAATCATGATGTTTATTTGGGAATAGTGGAACACTGCAATGGGAATTCACAGACCACAGTAGCTAGGGGCATATTCAAAGAGGTTGAGGCCAAGAGGAGTTTTTAAAGGACAAAAAATGAGGAGGGTTACATCAGATATTTTAACCCTGTCAACCTCAGCCGCAGTGACTGAGAACAAAGGTGACACCCGGCGAGGCTGAGCAGACAGTAGCCACACAGATGTCCTTGCCCCCATGTCACAGTGACCTTTGGGGTTAGGCAGATCTGCTTTGCTGTGAGCAGGGTGTGAGTCCAGGGGCCAGTGGCAGAGCTCTCAGCGGGGACAGCTGGACCTGAGCCCAACACCAGGCTCCTGCTTCCCACCCAAGGGTTGACCTTGATGCCCACCAGGACGCCCCGGGACAGCCCCTTCCCCTTCGTCCACCTCTTCTGACCTTTCCTTCACACGCACAGCACAGCAGAGGCTGCCGCTGACCCCAGGCCCCGGCGTCAGCACAGCCCCTGCGGAAGTGTGGGGTTCTACAAGAGTGACCCTGCTCACACTTCCGCCCCACCCAGTCCAGGCGAGACCATGTCAGTGGTGCTGCTCAGGAAGGCGCCGTGCTCATCATTACTAGCTCACTAGCTCGTCAAAAAGGTCACAACTTGGAAGAGCTAAGCACAGGAGAAGAGAGGGTGAGGGGCCGGGCATGCGCAGGAGACCTGGACACGACTGTCGCGGCTGTCCCAGGTCTCTGATGAGCCGCCCCACGGGAGGCCACTTTAAGTAAAATCTCCAGGCAGAGTCGCTGTGGACCGGGCACTGAGGTGGGCCCTGCAGACCAGACTAAATATCAAGACTGAGGCAGCTGTTCACGCTAAGATTCCACAACACAAAAGCGAAACCAACTCGTACTGGCCTTCTGAGAAATCAGAAGAGAAAGAATAGCTGAATTTCCCAGTCCAGTGTTGGTCTGCATAAGAATAAGTTCCTGTTTCAATCTGTAAGAAAGCAGGCCCACAGAGCCTGACCAACCGGGCAGCTCTTCACAGCTCTGCCTCCCTCCCCCACCTTCCCAAGAGAGGAACTCTGCAGGAACCAGCCTGCTCTTGGTTCTTTCTCTTTTCTTTTCTTCGGCCCTGCTCTGTCTAAAACACCAACCTCCCCGCTGAGCTCATCAGAACACCAGCTCTGTTTTATACGGTGAAGCGTTATGAGATTCCAGACTCTCAAACAAAGCAAGTTACTATTTCTACACCATACCTGCTGCTGCGTTGCCCTCCACACTCTCCGGACCGAGCTGATGACTCTTCCCTGTGTCCTGGCCCGGCTCAGTCCCCCAGCCTGCCCTCCCCAGGGCAGGGCCGAGACTGTGAACCTTAAACCTCCCTGTGATTGTCCTCTCTGGCTTCCCCATCTCACCCGGGGCCTATAGGAGTCCCCTCAGTAGCAGGTGTCCAGAGGGGCTTTTCACAGATAAACCAGGGCTCCCATCAGGGCAGACTCTGCCAGGGACTCAGAGCTGGGTGCCAGGGACCAGGGACGCAGCCCCTGTGTGTCCTCCATGATGCCGCGGGTCGTTCTGTTGCACAGGCGTCATTGTGGGCGTGACTGCCGCTTGACTTGGAGCAGCGCAGAACTCCTCAGCCGGACTTGAGATCTGTACCCTGGATCTCGGAGGGCCTTCGCCGCCCTCTAGCTCAGCCCGCGTCCCCTGACACAGTGGTGGACAGAGAGGTTCGAGACCCCGGTCCGGGGGCACCGCACAGCGTGGGAAGCCCGCTGTGAGCTCGGCACAGTGCCCCAGGCTGCCCCTCCGTCCACACTGAACCCGCAGGGTCCTGAACACAGGGCCCGTTCTCACCAGGGACTCAGCTGGTTTCATCAGGGCTCCAGGCTGTCGGTTTGACCTGCTGCTTTCCCTCGCCCTCTCCTGCCTCCCGCCTTCACCCGTGGAATGGGGCCAGACCCCCCACTCTGGGCCTCCCCAGCCTCCAGCCCCATAAGCCAAGCAGACTTCTGCTTGTCATAAATTAACCAGACTGTGGTGTGCTGTTACAGCTGGGCCAAGAGGCAGGTTTCATCCCCAGCAAAAGCTCCTTTCCTAGACTGTTCCCAGGAGCAAGCCTGCTATTAATTTTATTTTATTGTATTTTTTTTAGCTAAAGATGATTTATTGGAAGTTCTAGAGGAAATATGACACTATTCCACAACAAAGTTATTGATCTTTAGATTTCATAAGGAAACATATATTAGCAATATACTTTCAATAAAGCATTGTTATTAATAGCTAAATGCATTAGATTCTGGGGTGGTTTCTTTTGCTGTTTTTAAGTTAAGATGGTCCTTAAAAATTCTGATATTTCAACTATAAGTCATAGTCAAATCTGCAGATTTAAAAAATATGTGATTTGTACTTTTAAAAGTCATAATTGTTATATAGACACCATCTTGGGAAGTGATTTCAACAGTCAATGAAGTGTTTTATAGGTATTATGGAAACTAAAAGCTTTAACCCCATTCAATTATCTTTGCTTTAAAAATAAAAACATAAGCCAGGCATGCTGGTGCACACCTGTAATCCCAGCACTCAGGAGGCTGAGGCAGGAGGGTTGCTGTGAGTTTGAGACCAGCCTGGGCTACATAGTGAGTTCCAGGTCAGTCTCAACTACATAGTGAGACCCTGTCTCAAAAAAACCAAAAAATTAAAATTAAAATTAAAATTAAATAAAAACATATATACTAAAAATTAAAATGGCAAATTGCTACAAATTAGATAAAAATATTTTAAAATTAATAATTATTAAAGTGAAAAAATAAGTTCTTTTATAAACTGTAATGATACTTGTTACTGACTTCTCACAAAAAAAGTTAAATCTGTAATCCCAGCACTCAGGAGCTGAAGCAGGAGGATAGCAATCAGGTCAGTCTCAACTACATAGTCTCAAAAAAACAAAAAACAAACAAACAAAAAAAAAAGTTAAATTATATTTTTTAAAATCCTTGCAGTACAGAAAAAATAGCTATGTTTAGAAAATCTGTAAAACTCCCCTACATTAAGAAAAGTTTCAAAGAGTAATTCCCATCTTTTAAAAAAAGATCACACCCATCACAGTTAATACAGCTGTCATTGCCTTGCTATAAAAATAGTTGTAAATCAATGTTAATTTAGATAAAAGTAAAGCAATTTTAATTCAACATGATTAAGAAAAATGGATTAATCCCCCTAAATGCAAATAAAGCCAATTTGAACTCTATTATTTGAAACTGAATAATTATTTATTGTAATTATTACTTTCCATTAGTTTTAAATAAAATTGTGTTTGTTTTTGTAACTAAGTTATCCATTTAGGATCACCATAATTATTAAATGAAACTCCTAAAGTAGACTAGATTGCATGTTTAACTGGCTTTTGTAAGAATAATCATCTTTTAGATTAATTTTCTCTAAAGTTACCAGGGACAGCAAGCAATCTGAGTGAGTGCACAAATATTGTGTAAAGTGCATGCCTTACATTCCATTTGTGTAAATAGCTTCATACACCAGTGCACTATTTCCTTTGTGCAGTCTTAAATTAAAAATAAAAGTAGGGCAAGAAAAGGTTGAAATATCATTTTCATCACAAAGGGACAGTAAAAACATGAGCTTTGTCTTCATTCCGATGGGGAATACTTCGCTTTGACCTTACAGGAATAGGTAATGTGGCACCTTACAAATGCACGGAGGCGCGGGGGGGGGGGGGGGGGAGGCAA